CTGTGGTCCCGGGGTCGATCCCGGGCGCCGGCGAGAAACAATGGGCAGAGTTTCTTTCACCCTATGCCCCTGTTACCTAACAGTAAAATAGGTACCTGGGTGTTAGTCAGCTGTCACGGGGAGGACCGGGCCGCGGGGACACTATAAAAGCCCCGAAATCATCTCAAGATAACCTCAAGAAGGTCCACTGCAGCTTACTTTGCCCCCACCCATCACAGGAGATGTGTGCTGGATGCTCCGTCTTGGTCTTGAAGATGGAAGAATGTGACGGAGTGTCACAGCTGGTTGTTGACAGTTGACAGAGTTGGTTTGACGTACAGTCATTCCTCGGTGTCAATAATCTTCTCTTGTCAGTGTATCTGTCAATGATTTCAGTGTTGTGTGTCGGGATGTTTCTGGTGATGATCTGGATGAGCGCAGAGACTCATGTGCGTGTCTCCTCGATTTGTTGGGTCCTTGCTCTTTTGTGCACTGTCAAGGCGCCTTGAAAGGGATGCTGTTGTCTTGCCTATATATTGAGATCTTTGGAGCTGACAGTCCCCCAAGTGGGCATGTGAAGCTATAGACGACATTCATCTCTTTCAAGGCGTTTCTCTTGATGTCGGGAGAGTTTGTAATGAACAAATTGGCAGTTTTCTTCCCATTATAGTATACTAGATTGGATGGCCGGGCTAACGCCAGCCACACAACTAAATATTTTCACAAAAAAACTTTTAAAGAATTTTGGTTTGGTTTTATAGTAATATGCACCATTACCCATTGATCTTGGGAAAATTAAAAGATATTTCCTATTGTCAATAATTTGCCCGTACTAGCATAAAATAGACGATTCTGCTTCTGCTTCAAAGGTTTCTAAAGCCAGGCGCCCTTCACCAGAGTAAAGAGGGGGGACTATTCTTTGTTAAGTTTATTTTACACCATTGACCGCTCGCTGGCCACCACACTCACTTTACACTATTATATTTTAATAAGAAAGAGACAGACAGAATATATAATATGTATATATTATATATATAATATAATATAATATAATATAATATAATATAATATCTGATCTCATATCCAGGTGGCTAAGGTGGTCCACGTCCCGGCGCGGGAGCCCCCACCGGTTGACGAGTCCGGTTGAGTGGGGGGTAAGAGGAGGTTGAGTGGGGGGTAAGAGGAGGTTGAGTGGGGGGTAAGAGGAGGTTGAGTGGGGGGTAAGAGGAGGTTGAGTGGGGGGTAAGAGGAGGTTGAGTGGGGGGTAAGAGGAGGTTGAGTGTGTGGGGTTGAGGGATTGATTCATGAAGATTAAGCCACCTAAAAGGTGGCACGGGCATGAATACCCCGTAAGTGGTGGCCCTTTTGAGCCATTACCAGTATCAAGAGCTGATACTGGAGATCTGTGGAGGTGCGACTGCACCCTGCGTGACAGGAGATGTTTCCCGTGGGTTGAGGGGAAGTACCGGGGGTTAAAGTGGGGGGAAGGGAGGGGAGGGACATGGGTTTCCGGGAAGGTGAGGAGGAGGAGGGGGGCAAGGGGGCTATTAACATACTTGAAGTGACCTGGTGTAATGAGACGTCGGGAGGCGCGTGTCGTGGCTGTCTGTGGCCGGTGGGGAGACGGAGGAGGTCGTGTTCTGTGGCCTGTCGTTCCCCTCTCATCCTGCCTCTGGTTCATCCTTAAATTTTTCCATGCCGTGACCTCCCACCGAAGCTGTGACCCCTTCTTGCTGTCAGCCTCGCAGGTTGGGGCAGACAGCGGCCTCTTGTGTCAAGGTGCTCATTAGCGTCTCTCTGGCCACTGTATCTCTCAGCTCCCTCCCTCAGCGAGTCTAAGACTTCCTCTCCCACACTTCTAGAGTACTACAATCTTCTTCGTTTAAGTTTACTGCAGTTTCTGGATCGGAAATATGACTCGAGCGTTATTTCTGAGCGGTAATTCTGGCTCATTATTAAACAATGTTATTAAACAAACAGTGACACTCAAATCAAACAAATCCCCAGGGCCGGACGAAGTGTTTGCCAGGGTGCTTGAAGAATGCAAAGAGGAGCTTTGCGAGCCGTTGTCTACTATGTTTAATAAATCATAAGAGTCAGGCAGTGTGCCAGGGTCGTGGAAGGTTGCTAATGTGGTACCAATTTTCAAGAAAGGAGATTTCAAAATCCAAGAAAGGATTTTCAAGAAAGATCACTTGCGTCTAACTATCAGTCATTAGATTAACGTCTAATGTGGCAAAGTTGCTTGAATCGATAAGTGCAAAAGCCATTCGTCTTCATCTTGAAAAACATAGATTAATAAATGATTCACAACATGGTTTTTCGGTCCGTCCTGGACCAGTATAAAGTCGTGTGATAAAAGAAAGATTGATTGATTGATGGAGATTAAGCCACCCAAGGAGTAGCACGAGCATGAATAGCCCGTAAAGAAGAGAGGAAGTTCCCATCAGACTTGGTCAAGACTAGAGAAAAGCCTTCTTGTCCGACTCTCCACTTTGTCCAACAGTCTGATGTATGAGGGGGGGGGTGTTCAGGCGATCCAGGAGAGGGGTACATACTCTAGATGGGAGCGAACTTGTGCTTCATATAAGGTTTTGCAGCCCTTGCTGTCAAGGTGTGAGATGCGCCGTAGAGCTGTAAGTTTCCTGGCTGCCTTTTAGACTAGGTTAAGCGCATGGCTCTTTATTGACATTGAAGAGTCGAACTTCATTCTCAAGATGTCAATTTCATCTATAAACTCTAGGGTTTTGCCGCTCATTTGCAAGTCTGTCCTATTTGTCATGTGCAGTCAAGTTATCATCATCGCTTGTCTCCTCAGCCGCCAATGTGACCTGCTATCTCCTACCCCAGATAGAAATCGCCGAAAGTTGATGATTGATGAGTCTTGCAGCAGTTGGCATTTCTTCCTTTCTGTAAGTGAAGGTTAGAGTGCAGTCATCAGCACAGGCTTGAGCTTCAGGAATGAGACGAAGTTAACATTCCACAGGAGAGGACCAAGCACACAGCCCTGTGGAACGCTGGCACCAGGTGTGTGGCCTCTATTGAGGACAATTTTTAGAGTAGTATCTCTCTCTCTCTCTCTCTCTCTCTCTCTCTCTCTCTCTCTCTCTCTCTCTCTCTCTCTCTCTCTCTCTCTCTCTCTCTCTCTCTCTCTCTCTCTCTCTCTCTCTCTCTCTCACTATCAGTCTCACACTCAGTTTATCTCTGACAATCTCCCACACTGCCCTCCTGCCCCTCGTCCTGTGGCTGGCTATGAGGGCCGGGGTGGCCAGCGCCGCGCCTCGCGCAATACTCTGCTTCTCTGTCAGTCTTCCCTACATATCGTATTGCCTGTGCGGGATCCTGGTGTTACCTGAGGTGGTGTACCGTGGCCTCGCTCCCTTCATGCTGGCCTGGACCAGGTCTCATTGTTCTCCTCTCACACTCGCATACTCTCACACTCACACACTCACACTTTTACACTCACACACTCACAACTCGCGGGTGAGTGGACAGCGCTCGGGGGTCGTAGTCCTAAGGGCCCGGGTTCAATCTCCGGCAGAGACAGAAACAAATACGCAGTTTCTTTCACCCTGGTGCTCCTTGTTCACATGGCAGTAAATAGGTACCTGGGAGTTAGACAGCTGCTACGGACTGCTTCCTGGGTGTGTGGTGTGTGTGTGTACTCACCTATTTGTACATACCTATTTGTGCTTGCGGAGGTTGAGCTTTGGCTCTTTGGTCCCGCCTCTCAACTGTCAATCAACTAATGTAAAGGTTCCTGAGCCTACTGGGCTCTATCATATCTACATTTGAAACTGTGTATGGAGTCAGCCTCCACCACATCACTGCCTAATGCATTTCATCTGTTAACTACTCTGACGGTGAAAAAGTTGTTTCTAACGTCCCTGTGGCTCATTTGGGTACGCAGTTTCCACCTGTGTCCCTTTGTTCGTGTACCACCTGTGTTAACAAGTTTATCTTTATCTACTCTGTTGATTCCTCTGAGAATTTTGTAGTGTGTGTTTGTGTGTGTGTGTGTGTGTATGTGTACTCACCTATTTGTTTTGCGTGTGTGTGTATTCACCTAGTTGTGCTTGCGGGGGTTGAGCTCTGCTCTTTCAGCCCGCCTCTCAACTATCAATCAACTGTTACTATTATTTTTTTCCACACACACACACACACACACACACACACACACACACACACACACACACACACACACACACACACACACACACACACACCAGTAAGCAGCCCGTGACAGCTGACTAACTCCCAGGTACCTATTTACTGCTAGATAACAGGGGCATCAGGGTGAAAGAAACTCTGCCCATCGTTTCTCGCCGCTGCCAGGAATCGAACCCGGGCCACAGGGTCACGTGTCCAGCGTGCTATCCACTGAGCCACCGGAGAGTGTGTGTGTGTGTGTGTGTGTGTGTGTGTGTGTGTGTGTGTGTGTGTGTGTGAGTGTACTCACCCTAGTTGTGCTTGAAAGTGTGTGCGAGTATATAAGAGAAATTATATGTAATAAACATAGAATCAAAATAAATTGGTTAGAAAGGCAGGATCCAAGAGTTAGTAGCTCGATTCTGCAGATACAAATAGTAAATACACACACACACACACACACACACACACACACACACACACACACACACACACACACACACACACACACACACACACACAGGTATTTAGACACTTGTGCGACTAAGGAGGAAGTGTGATAAGGGAGAGCGAGCCAGACCCAGCCACTCACAGCGCGCCATTGTCTTCCGTCAGGCTCTTGTTTTTTTTGCAACGAAAGCGACCCTGACTTTTACCGGCGGATTGCAACCTGGAAACTTTCAGCTGTTGAGTCCTCAGAAGCATGCAATCAGCCATCATGACAACACAGAGCGGGTAGGTCACGCTACGAGCGCCGTGACACTCGGTATTGTAACGCTGACGACTGTCAAGGTCAAGGGTGAGGGGGGGGGGGGGGAGTGTTAAGGTCACCGGCACAGTGACCATTAACCGGCCACCTTCACTTTTACCAGCAGGCGGAGGGCGTCGCAGGAGAGGCAGTCTGTGTGTTGTGGAGCCCCTGACAACACTACCACCATGGCTGCCTTCTATACCCTTACTGTGAGTACCCTCTACCATGGCTGCCTTCTACAGCCTTACTGTGAGTACCCTCTACCATGGCTGCCTTCTATACCCTTACTGTGAGTACCCTCTACCATGGCTGCCTTCTACAGCCTTACTGTGAGTACCCTCTACCATGGCTGCCTTCTATACCCTTACTGTGAGTACCCTCTACCATGGCTGCCTTCTACAGCCTTACTGTGAGTACCCTCTACCATGGCTGCCTTCTATACCCTTACTGTGAGTACCCTCTACCATGGCTGCCTTCTACAGCCTTACTGTGAGTACCCTCTACCATGGCTGCCTTCTATACCCTTACTGTGAGTACCCTCTACCATGGCTGCTTTCTATACCCTTACTGTGAGTACCCTCTACCATGGCTCCCTTCTATACCCTTACTGTGAGTACCCTCTACCATGGCTGCTTTCTATACCCTTACTGTGAGTACCCTCTACCATGGCTCCCTTCTACACCTTACTGAGTGTAGCACTCCTTACCATGCCTCAGTCTTAAAGCCTCAGCAAACCTGCCACAACACCTGTGTACTATCCACAGCACCTGTGTACTATCCACAGCACCTGTGTACTATCCACAGCACCTGTGTACTATCCACAGCATCTGTGTACTGTCCACAGCACCTGTGTACTGTCCACAGCATCTGTGTACTATCCACAGTACCTGTGTACCACCCACAGTACCTGTGTACCACCCACGGCACCTGTGTACCACCCACGGCACCTGTGTACCACCCACGGCACCTGTGTACCACCCTCGGCACCTGTGTACCACCCACGGCACCTGTGTACCACCCACGGCACCTGTGTACCACCCACGGCACCTGTGTACCACCCACGGCACCTGTGTACCACCCACGGCACCTGTGTACCACCCACGGCACCTGTGTACCACCCACGGCACCTGTGTACCACCCACGGCACCAGTGTACCACCCACGGCACCTGTGTACCACCCACGGCACCTGTGTACCACCCACGGCACCTGTGTACCACCCACGGCACCTGTGTACCACCCACGGCACCTGTGTACCACCCACGGCACCTGTGTACCACCCACGGCACCTCTGTACCACCCACGGCACCTCTGTACCACCCACGGCACCTCTGTACCACCCACAGCACCTGTGTACCACCCACAGCACCTCTGTACCACCCTTGTACCCATCAAGAAGCTAACGTTTCAACAATCAGTAAACGTTTCAGGCAACGTTTATTGAGCTTAAAAATCCTCCTTTACCGGAATACGTTTATGTATCCTGTATTTATCTGTCAATGTATCGCTACATCTACCATCTATCACTTCATCTACTATGTATAGCTTTATCTACCCATGTATCACCTCTTCTACCATCTATCACTTCATCTATCATGCATAGTTAGGGTCGGCGTTCAATCCCCCGACCGTCGAAGTGATTGGGCAACATCCCCCCCCCCCGTCCTTAATCCCTATCCTGATCCCTTGTGATATACGCTCGTTGTGGCTTAGTGCTTTCTCCTGGTGATTACCTCTCCTTACCATGTAAAGCTTAATCTACCGCCACATTTTTCCGTATATTGACACGTTCCACTAGCAAACGTTCCGTCTACTAACAAACGTTCCGTCTACTAACATGTTCCATCTACCAACAAACGTTCCGTCTACTAACAAACGTTAAGCTGGTGATGTGACAGAAAACGTTGGTGATTTATTAAGTCAGTTCCAGTATTTACACCCCCTCCTTACCCTCCCCCCCCCCCACCCCCCCACCGCACTCAGCCCCACCCCACGCCACTCAGCCCCTCCCCACCCCACTCAACTCCCCTCCCTATTAATTAACTATTAAATGATTAAATACATCAAGTTATGCTGATGAATTGTTTATAAATTGGTTGATGATGGCGTGAGTGGGCGGGGTGATAAGAGGGTGGGCGGGGCGAGGAGGAGTGGGCGGGGCGAGGAGTGTGGGCGGGCTAGGAGGAGTGTGGGCGGGGCGAGGAGTGTGGGCGGGGCGAGGAGGAGTGTGGGCGGGGCGAGGAGTGTGGGCGGGGCGAGGAGTGTGGGCGGGGAGTGGAGGAGGGAGGGTGCTTGCTGTTCCCCGCTTAAAGCAAGCTGGTGGTCCACAAACAAAGCAATTGTTTACTTTAGTTCACAGCTTGAGTATACTTGCCTGGTATACTAGGTCAACTTTCACTGTGTCCTTAGATGCTGGTCAACTTTCACAGTGTCCACTGAGATAATTATAGACTCATATCTCTAACATCGTGTGTTTGTAAAGTGCTTGAACGTATTGTTCTTAACCGACTCATGTATCGTATACAGGGGCACCTGTCACCCCAACTGTTTGGATTTATGCCTGGGCTCAGTACACAACACTGTTTTGCTGAGTACTTCGCACATATTGAAGCTTCCCCTCAAACAGTCTTCATCGACCTAGCTGCAGCTTTTGATACAGCAAACAGAGAAATCATACTGGAACAGCTTGCCGAGCTGGGAATACAAGGAAAATTACTGAAATGGATAAAGGGCTATTTGTCTAATCGAACAGCATATGTTTTGTTTAATGGTGTTAAAAGCACAGAGAGCAAACACTTTGAACTGGGAACTCCACAAGGAGGGGTCCTCAGCCCCTTGTTGTTCAACGTTCTGATGCATAAATTTATTAAAGATCTTCCAACTAATAATGAAGACACTGTCATTTGTTATGCTGATTATGTATGTTTACAGGCTGCCACCGAGCCTAGAATGCAAGTTCTGCTCGACGCTTTTGCTACTAGAGCTGAGGAATGTGGCCTCCTTATCTCTGTACAGAAAACTCGCGCCCTTATTCTGTGTGGTATTCCACCAGCCAATTATCATATAGATGGGCGAGCACTTGAGAACTGCGAGTCCTACAGATACCTTGGTGTCCCCATTAACGACCCTGGGTACCTTTCTTCTCTCAAGAGGAGACTCTGGGAGAGATTAAAGCCCTTGCGGGTCCTTGTTGGTGTCAATCATGGAATTAACGTGAGACTTGCTAGAATGTTTTATGTATCATTTATACGCTCTGTGATTGACTATAATGCTCTACATCTCACACTGTATACAAAGACCTGAAAACTCTTGAAACCTTGCAAAATGAAACTATGCGTCTCATCCTTGGGGCTCCAAAGTCCACGAGAATAGTTAATATGAGAACAAAGTTAAAATTACCTACCATAAGTGAGAGAATTTTGTCAATTAGCAGTTTTCGGCGTGAAGGCATTGAGTAGATCTCGGCAACACATGAAGTTTCAAGCTAAACTTTCTAATATGCTGCACTCACCTAAGGTCTATAGAAGAACAAAATCTGATTATGTATTTTGGTTCTACAAGGTAGCCAACTCCATCAAAATATTAAATATGTACCCAACTCAATGATTAATCAACCAATTACTCCATGGGATAACTGGAATCTATCAGTTGATTTTGTACATGCGCCCAAGAAAGATAGTGTGCACTCTACATTATTAAAACAGTTAACACTGAAAAGCATCACTGAGAGTACTCAGGTTATCGGTAACGATGTGTATCAGTGCTATACCGACGGCTCTGTAGAAGAAGGTGGACAATGTACCGATTGCGCATGTAACATATTTGAACAATCCTCTCTCGTACATACAGCAATGAAGCGCGTCAATGACTGGGCAAGTACAACTCAAACCGAACTTGCAGGCATATTCCTTGCCACTGAATTTTTGAAAGACAAAGGCAGTGGACTTATATACTGTGACTCGCAGAGTGCACTCCTGGCATTGAACGCACATAGTAGTGACACCAAGAAAATAGTCAGTGATATTCGAATGAATGTTTTAGCTGCTAAAGAAAACAGACTTGAAATTAAATTCCTATGGATACCATCACATGTTGGCATCTCAAGGCATGACACTGTTGATATGCTTGCTAAGACAGCCTGCAGAAAACCAGTGGTAGAAATTGATATGGGTGTTTTATTAGCAGTGACAAAGAGAATACTTAAACAAATATCTAATGAAGATCTCACCGACCTAACAAATTCACAAAGACCTGAAAGTTGTAGCATTAAATATTATGATAGATATCGTGAGGAGGCATTCACATATGGGACTAATAGAACAAGAACCCGGCAATGTGATGTTATAGTGGCCAGAATACGCCTGGGATATAGACGTATCTGGCAGCTTTCTCAAAACCCAATGTCGAGTACACAATGTGTCAACTTTGTGAAAGAGAAAACATGCACTCTCTTGAACATTATATTGTAGAATGTCCCATATTGTCTGACTTTCGCCCTCCTGGGCTAAGGTATGCTGAACTCTGTAATTACTATATGAGTACTGGAACACTTGATGATATATTGGACTTGTACCCAAGATTAACCATGTAATGTATCAGTTATACAATGTATGTATGTGATGTAACTATATAACCTGAGATTGTAAAAGCACCTTAATCACCTTCAGTGATTAAGTGCCTAATTGCACACTAGTTTCTCTATCAGCTACCTCACCCTGTCAGAGTAAAAGAGACAAATGAATGTGAATGCATGTGTGTGTGTATATATATGCATGTATATGTGTATGTGTATTTATATGTATGTGAAGTATATATGGAAGCTGATCAGAATTACATTTCACCTTTGTAAATGCACATTAATGCCACTGTAAAAGACACATCGAACACTTTATGTAGGACATACGTAAATCTGTGTATCTATGTATTTACGTATGTAGGTTAGCTTAACATTTTAAAAGCACGAATCACCTTCTGTGGTTGATTGTTCAATAAACCCTTGAACTATATGTTTAACACATCTCTAACCCTGTCCATGGAGGACAGAAGAAAATGTATATATGCTGCTGGTTAGCATTGTAAATGTGTGGCCACGTCTGTGGTAGAAAATATTATTAAAAAAAATGTCTTTAGTTGCTTGTCAACTTTCACTGTGTCCTTAGGTACTTGTCAACTTTCACCGTGTCCTTAGATACGTGTCAACTTTCACTGTGTCCATAGATACTAGTCAACTTTCACTGTGTCCATAGATACTAGTCAACTTTCACTGTGTCCATAGATACTAGTCAACTTTCACTGTGTCCATAGATACTAGTCAACTTTCACTGTGTCCTTAGATACTTGTCAACTTTCACTGTGTCCTTAGATACTTGTCAACTTTCACTGTGTCCTTAGATACTTGTCAACTTTCACTGTGTCCTTAGATACTTGTCAACTTTCACCGTGTCTTTAGATACTTGTCAACTTTCACTGTGTCCTTAGATACTTGTCAACTTTCACCGTGTCCTTAGATACGTGTCAAGTTTCACTGTGTCCTTAGATACTTGTCAACTTTCACTGTGTCCTTAGATACTTGTCAACTTTCACTGTGTCCTTAGATACTTGTCAACTTTCACTGTGTCCTTAGATACTTGTCAACTTTCACTGTGTTCTTAGATACTTGTCAACTTTCACTGTATCCTTAGATACTTGTCAAGTTTCACTGTGTCCTTAGATACTTGTCAACTTTCACTGTGTCCTTAGATACTTGTCAACTTTCACTGTGTCCTTAGATACTTACCAACTTTCACCGTGTCCCAAACACTGAGACACATCCGTGAATCAAACACTCTAAGTCCCAAATCTAGTGTTACGAAATGTAGCAAATTGATCTGTAGTCAGGCTTAACAGGTGGCCGGTTAAACCAGGTTTAGTGAAATTTGGTGATGTGGGGGTGGGGAGGGAGGCACCGGTTCATGTTTTAGCTGGAATTGAAAAGAAACTGGTTGTTCATGTTCTTTATAGCAGGTGACCTTTGTAGACGACTGGCCTTTGTAGGCGACTGACCTTTGTAGACGACTGGCCTTTTTATACAGGTGACCTCTCGTAGCTGTGACAATTAGCTAGTCTGGGATTTCGTAGACGGGAGGTGACAGAAGAGGGCTGATCGTTGACCAGGAGAGATGATTTTGGAGAAGAGTGACCTTCTTTGTCTGAGTCCTGAAGGAAAAAAAAAAGGTTGCCTGACTCCGTTGAGTAACACTTAATCTATTTTCTGAGGTTGAGGGTTGCCTCTGGGAGAGGGACGACCTCCCACCCCACCCACACTTGCCACCTCCCACACTTGCCACCCCCACACTTGCCACCCCCACACTTGCCACCTCCCACACTTGCCACCTCCCACACTTGCCACCTCCCACCCCACCCACACTTGCCACCTCCCACACTTGCCACCTCCCACACTTGCCACCTCCCACACTTGCCACCTCCCACACTTGCCACCTCCCACACTTGCCACCTCCCACACTTGCCACTCTCACAACACTGACCAGGTCTCCTGGCCTCGCCATCTTGAGATTATCTTGAGATGATTTCGGGGCTTTTTAGTGTCCCCGCGGCCCGGTCCCTCGACCAGGCCTCCACCCCCAGGAAGCAGCCCGTGACAGCTGACTAACACCCAGGTACATATTTTACTGCTAGGTAACAGGGGCATAGGGTGAAAGAAACTCTGCCCATTGTTTCTCGCCGGCGCCTGAGATCGAACCCAGGACCACAGGATCACAAGCCCAGCGTGCTGTCCGCTCGGCCGACCGGCTCCTCGCCATAACCCCCTATACATCTCCGCCACCACACGCACTCATCATTGCGAGTTGCGACGCCTTATTGCCATACATGCACCCGAGGCACTCACTAGTATACACTCGAGGCACTCAACAAACATACTCTCGAGGCATTAACCATGTAAAAGAGTAGCTATGAGTAACACCAACATAACTTTTGTTCCTTGAGAATAAGTGTTATTTCCTAGCAGCTTTTGCCTCCAAAGTCCAGAAGACGGCCGTTATCGTCCTCAAGTTTAGCTGTGACCTTCGCCTCGGGGAACTTTAGGAAGACGTCTTGAAGGTACCTGAAGGCTGCCGACGCCTTATCTAGAGCTGTGACGAACTGCACCTTCAGTGGACAGCCTTCAAACGTCTTCCCAACACTCCCTTATGCAAATGTCAAATTAGAAACTAACATTTACTCTCCAGGGACACAGAAAAAATGGTTACAGAGTGGCTTACATTCCGTCTTTTGTTATTATTGAAGTTGTGAATAATTGATTCCTTGTGTGTTTTTTGTCCTCAGGGGAGAGTGTGGTGGGCCCTGGCGGCGGTGACGCTGGTGGCGGTGACGGAGGTCGTGACGGGGGCGGTGACGGAGGCGGTTACGGAGGCCTCCAGGGGCCGAGGGAGTGTTATTGTGGCGTTTGAGACCCCAGACCAAGAGCAGTTCCAGTACGGACGTCCAGGAGAAGCGGTGTTCGGAGCATTCAGGTAGGCTCCACTCTGCAACATTCACCTAGGCTCCACAGCCCAACATTCACCTAGGCTCCACAGCCCAACATTCACCTAGGCTCCACAGCCCAACATTCACCTAGGCTCCACAGCCCAACATTCACCTAGGCTCCACAGCCCAACATTCACTCAGGCTCCACAGCCCAACATTCCCTCAGGCTCCACAGCCCAACATTCCCTCAGGCTCCACAGCCCAACATTCCCTCAGGCTCCACAGCCCAACATTCACCTAGACTCCACAGCCCAACATTCACCTAGACTCCACAGCCCAACATTCCCTCAGGCTCCACAGCCCAACATTCCCTCAGGCTCCACAGCCCAACATTCACCCAGGCTCCACAGCCCAACATTCACCCAGGCTCCACAGCCCAACATTCACCCAGGCTCCACAGCCCAACATTCACCCAGGCTCCACAGCCCAACATTCACCCAGGCTCCACAGCCCAACATTCACTCAGGCTCCACAGCCCAACATTCCCTCAGGCTCCACAGCCCAACATTCACCCAGGCTCCACAGCCCAACATTCACCCAGGCTCCACAGCCCAACATTCACTCAGGCTCCACAGCCCAACATTCACTCAGGCTCCACAGCCCAACATTCCCTCAGGCTCCACAGCCCAACATTCCCTCAGGCTCCACAGCCCAACATTCCCTCAGGCTCCACAGCCCAACATTCCCTCAGGCTCCACAGCCCAACATTCACTCAGGCTCCACAGCCCAACATTCACCTAGACTCCACAGCCCAACATTCACCTAGACTCCACAGCCCAACATTCCCTCAGGCTCCACAGCCCAACATTCCCTCAGGCTCCACAGCCCAACATTCACTCAGGCTCCACAGCCCAACATTCACCCAGGCTCCACAGCCCAACATTCACCCAGGCTCCACAGCCCAACATTCACTCAGGCTCCACAGCCCAACATTCACCCAGGCTCCACAGCCCAACATTCCCTCAGGCTCCACAGCCCAACATTCCCTCAGGCTCCACAGCCCAACATTCCCTCAGGCTCCACAGCCCAACATTCCCTCAGGCTCCACAGCCCAACATTCCCTCAGGCTCCACAGCCCAACATTCCCTCAGGCTCCACAGCCCAACATTCCCTCAGGCTCCACAGCCCAACATTCACCTAGACTCCACAGCCCAACATTCCCTCAGGCTCCACAGCCCAACATTCACCTAGGCCCCACAGCCCACCATTCACCTAGGCTCCACAGCCCAACATTCACCTAGGCCCCACAGCCCACCATTCACCTAGGCTCCACAGCCCAACATTCACTTAAGCTCTGGTACGTATATCGTGAATGATATACACGAACATCTTGAGTGATGAGTGGTCCAGGTCACCAAGCTGACCAGGACATAAGAATCACTGTTCACCTGCCTTAATGTGTCAACTTTTTACCTCAGATGTAACAATCGAGGACTGTTAATTAGACGATGGTTCGCCCCTTATCTTCTGTTACTTAACAACTGGATCATAGTCATTAGCATACTACCCTGAAGTTATCTATAAATATACTGCACATATTTTGGGTATAATAGTATATCTTAAACTCGTGGGCCCGTTTCGTCTATATGGAACTGATTTCAGAATATAATTGACGTGGGATTGATGGGGGTGTTTCAAACGGGGGGGTTGACTTGGACATAATCTAGAACTGTCAAGTATGGCCCAATCGGTTTAATGTTCTTATTAAGTACCCACTTTCTATCCACAGCTGGAGGAGTCCTGAAGGTCACCTGTTCATCTACCGGTATGTGGCTGACGCGGCCGGGTACCGGGTGAGGAGTGAAACCATCCCGGTGGATTCACAGGGCGTGGCGGCCAATGGGGAGCAGGTGTTCCCGCGGACGCCCGATGGAGAGTTTATATTCACCTGAGGGAGCTGTGCGAGCCTTCCTCCGTCGTCCTGCGCGTCCCAGCGTCACGCAGGGGTGTCCTAGCGTCACGTAGGGTGTTCCTGTGTCACGTAGGGTGTCCCAGCGTCACACAGGGTGTTCCTGTGTCACGTAGGATGTCCCAGCGTCACACAGGGTGTTCCTGTGTCACGTAGGATGCCCCAGCGTCACACAGGGTGTTCCTGTGTCACGTAAGATGTCCCAGCGTCACACAGGGTGTTCCTGTGTCACGTAGGATGTCCCAGCGTCACACAGGGTGTTCCTGTGTCACGTAGGATGTCCCAGCGTCACACAGGGTGTTCCTGTGTCACGTAGGATGTCCCAGCGTCACGCAGGGTGTTCCTGTGTCACGTAGGATGTCCCAGCGTCACACAGGGTGTTCCTGTGTCACGTAGGATGTCCCAGCGTCACGTAGGGTGTTCCTGTGTCACGTAGGATGTCCCAGCGTCACGCAGGGGTGTCCCAGCGTCACGCAGGGGTGTCCCAGCGTCACGCAGGGGTGTCCTAGCGTCACGCAGGATGTCCCAGCGTCACGCAGGGGTGTCCCAGCGTCACATAGGATATCCCAGCGTCACACTGGACGAAGATGGACGTAGGTAGCCCACTCATACGAACACTTGGGAGCAGAGGTGCGGAGATCTCAGCTATGACCCTAGAGTTTCGACCATCTTGTGCTCCTCCTTCGTCCGGATCCTCCGCTGGTGGCCTCGTCCACACCCCACCATTACTGGGCATCACACGCCCACATATACAGTAAAACAGGACAAATCACGACGTTTCGATTTAACACTGGGGCCAGGACGGAGCGAAACGTCGTCATTTTCCTCTTCCCTTCCTATATATAGATAAGTGAGTTAGTGACGAAAGTATATCTTATTATCTGCATTATATTTTTCTTTTTTAAGCTGCTAAAGTGTGAATGTCGTCTGTAATTAGGTTGCTTCACGACCGTGTCTCTCTGGTACAGACAATGCCTCACTGTTAGCCAGGTTGGTAATGTTCCCTTTCACACAACTACGGTTCATACATTCTCACATGTGTTGTGATATCCAGTTGTAGATGTTTTGTGTTCTACAAGATGTTGTGAGTGTGTCTGTAGATGCTTAAGTGACATATTTTTACACAATGCATTCACAAAAAAACATTCACAAAAAATTTGTGACGAAATGTTTGGAGCAGGATTGCGGGAGGGAACCGGCGTGTGCTTGTCCTCCTCAACACCCGTCTTAACCCACGAGCCACGATGTGCTAATCGTTACACAACTCGGAGTCTAACCGATTCCACTAGGTGTCTGAAACACCGAACTCGTACCCAATCCAAGTTTTACATATAAGCCACATACACTGTGGTGTCGGCAGCCCCCCCCCCCCCCCACACACACACACACACACACACACACACACACACACACACACACACACACACTCTGGGGTAGATACAGGAGTGCGCAGCCAAGCGCTCTCGCTAGATAAGTACACTGAGATCACTATATGGAGGGATATAGGTGAAGGGCGTGTCTGGGGGTGACCAGAACGCTGGTTCGACCCCCCTCACCTTCCTCCTGAGACCCCCCCCCCCTCATTATTTGTTGCTTTTTCTCGTGTGAAGTGTATTGTCTGCTCTGTAGTTGTTTATTGATAATTATAATAAATATGGTCAGTAGTTTGGGAGTTTATTTCGTTCCTGTAATGTAGGAACAGTCCCACCTGTCATGTGAGAGTGTATACATATACACACAGGCATAGTCCCACCATGTGAGAGTGTATACATATACACACAGGCATAGTCCCACCTGTCATGTGAGAGTGTATACATATACACACAGGCATAGTCCCACCTGTCATGTGAGAGTGTATACATATACACACAGGCATAGTCCCACCATGTGAGAGTGTATACATATACACACAGGCATAGTCCCACCATGTGAGAGTGTATACATATACACACAGGCATAGTCCCACCATGTGAGAGTGTATACATATACACACAGGCATAGTCCCACCATGTGAGAGTGTATGCATATACACACAGGCATAGTCCTACCATGTGAGAGTGTATACATATACACACAGGCATAGTCCTACCATGTGAGAGTGTATACATATACACACAGGCATAGTCCCACCATGTGAGAGTGTATACATATACACACAGGCATAGTCCCACCATGTGAGAGTGTATACATATACACACAGGCATAGTCCTACCATGTGAGAGTGTATACATATACACACAGGCATAGTCCTACCATGTGAGAGTGTATACATATACACACATGCATAGTCCCACCATGTGAGAGTGTATACATATACACACAGGCATAGTCCCACCATGTGAGAGTGTATACATATACACACAGGCATATAGCCCCCCCCCCCCCCTGTCATGTAAGAGGTGGGACTATGCAATTTTGCATAGCAAAATACCTCGCCATTTTGAGGAGTTTGTTGAATACGTAAATAATTCGATGTATTAGGCGTGAGGACAGGTCGTTCACCTTTCACTACCAGGTCTGTGTGGTCATTTACTTTCGTTTGTTCCATTGTGTTGAGTGAATACTTTGACCGATAATTTTTGCTTCCAACATGTATTACTCTTGCGGTGACTGGCATTTATACTCATCTGCCCTTTACCGGCATATTTAACTCACGTGTTTAACTCTGCTTGTGACTCTGCTGGGTCGGGACTCTGCTGGGTCGGTCTCTGCTGGGTCGGGACTCTGTTGGGTCGGGACTCTGCTGGGTCGGCACTCTGCTGGGTCGGGACTCTGATGGGTCGGGACTCTGTTGGGTCGGGTCTCTGCTGGGTCAGGACTCTGCTGGGTCGGTCTCTGCTGGGTCGGGACTCTGCTTATCAGGTCACTACTCTCCCGGGCCAAGTTGTATATATTTATGGTATATTTTAGACGTACTTATGCCTTGGAAGACGTCGACGTAGTAAGCGGAGTGCCTCAGGGGGGTCCATCCAGGCTTTTGCATTTACATTTATGTAAAATGTATAACAAATGTAAAAATACAAATGTAAAAGGCATTTACAACGTTGTGTTGACCTTCAAAGGTCAATCCAGGATTTCTCAAACAATTGCGACACTAATTACTAAACCTGTATAACTTTAATTATGGCATCTCGGGTGTGTTTATTCAACAGTTTACCAGTTTGGCAACTTTACGACCCAAGGGTGTCATTGTGGTCTACTTCACGACCCAAGGGTGTCATTGTGGTCTACTTCACGACCCAAGGGTGTCATTGTGATCTACTTCACGACCCAAGGGTGTCATTGTGATGATCTACTTCACGACCCAAGGGTGTCATTGTGGTCTACTTCACGACCCAAGGGTGTCATTGTGGTCTACTTCACGACCCAAGGGTGTCATTGTGGTCTACTTCACGACCCAAGGGTGTCATTGTGATCTACTTCACGACCCAAGGGTGTCATTGTGATGATCTACTTCACGACCCAAGGGTGTCATTGTGGTCTACTTCACGACCCAAGGGTGTCATTGTGGTCTACTTCACGACCCAAGGGTGTCATTGTGGTCTACTTCACGACCCAAGGGTGTCATTGTGGTCTACTTCACGACCCAAGGGTGTCATTGTGGTCTACTTCACGACCCAAGGGTGTCATTGTGGTCTACTTCACGACCCAAGGGTGTCATTGTGATCTACTTCACGACCCAAGGGTGTCATTGTGATGATCTACTTCACGACCCAAGGGTGTCATTGTGATCTACTTCACGACCCAAGGGTGTCATTGTGATCAACTTCACGACCCAAGGGTGTCATTGTGATCAACTTCACGACCCAAGGGTGTCATTGTGATCTACTTCACGACCCAAGGGTGTCATTGTGATCTACTTCACGACCCAAGGGTGTCATTGTGATCTACTTCACGACCCAAGGGTGTCATTGTGATCTACTTCACGACCCAAGGGTATCATTGTGATCTACTTCACGACCCAAGGGTGTCATTGTGATCTACTTCACGACCCAAGGGTGTCATTGTGATGATCTACTTCACGACCCAAGGGTGTCATTGTGATCTACTTCACGACCCAAGGGTATCATTGTGATGATCTACTTCACGACCCAAGGGTGTCATTGTGATCTACTTCACGACCCAAGGGTATCATTGTGATGATCTACTTCACGACCCAAGGGTGTCATTGTGATCTACTTCACGACCCAAGGGTGTCATTGTGATGATCTACTTCACGACCCAAGGGTGTCATTGTGATCTACTTCACGACCCAAGGGTATCATTGTGATGATCTACTTCACGACCCAAGGGTGTCATTGTGATCTACTTCACGACCCAAGGGTATCATTGTGATGATCTACTTCACGACCCAAGGGTGTCATTGTGATCTACTTCACGACCCAAGGGTATCATTGTGATGATCTACTTCACGACCCAAGGGTATCATTGTGATCTACTTCACGACCCAAGGGTATCATTGTGATCTACTTCACGACCCAAGGGTATCATTGTGATGATCTACTTCACGACCCAAGGGTGTCATTGTGATGATCAACTTCACGACCCAAGGGTGTCATTGTGATGATCAACTTCACGACCCAAGGGTGTCATTGTGATGATCTACTTCACGACCCAAGGGTGTCATTGTGATGATCAACTTCACGACCCAAGGGTGTCATTGTGATGATCAACTTCACGACCCAAGGGTGTCATTGTGATGATCTACTTCACGACCCAAGGGTGTCATTGTGATGATCAACTTCACGACCCAAGGGTGTCATTGTGATGATCTACTTCACGACCCAAGGGTGTCATTGTGATGATCAACTTCACGACCCAAGGGTGTCATTGTGATGATCAACTTCACGACCCAAGGGTGTCATTGTGATGAACAAGCTCGCAGCACTTTTTTCGGAGCTGGTAAACTGTTTATTTAATGTAGACTACCATGATTAAGAACAGCAACCCGTCCTCAGGCTAAGTCCATTCCATCCAGCGGTCGACCCCAAAGAGGCATTCATATCAATTGTAACATGCTGCTCATTCAAGACAGGAATTTTCTCAAATGTAAATTATATTATTATATATTAGCATATTGTGCATATTTAGGCATTGGTTAGGTTAGGTTAGGTTAGGTTAGGTTAGGTTAGGTGAGGTGTTTAGGTTCTGTTGGCGATTATTTGTATTTGTAGTACGTGGGTGAAGCATTTACAGCGTTGTGGTTCGAACAAATCTCGTCAGTAAAGCACTTGTTCCGGAAGTGTTCGAACGTCAACAGTTTTGTGCCGTGTGTTAACCGTTTTTCATTCATAAACAGGGGGAAGGGGGGGTTAGCGGGTGGATGGAATGGACTTTGGCCTTTGTTTATGAGGACGGGCTGAAGGAAAGATGTACAGGCTTCGCAAGTGGTTGCGTAAATACTCGAGGGATCCTGGCTCGCGTCCCAAGACTCACCCTTGAGGCACTCCGCCTCTTACGTCGGCGTCTTCCAACGCATATAATTACGTCCAAATAAAAACTGTAAATACAGAACTGTCCGAGTCATGTTCAAGTTATCATGACCAATCACCTTTTAAGCAAATTATATTGTTTGCAAGACAATGCTCAAGTATTCTCAGTTCAGCATTTTATATATCTCTTAAACCATTATAATCTTAACTCAGTAACATAAAACTTTTATTATATTTTTGCTGAAGTTCTGAAACCATTTTTTTTTTTTACGTAAAGAAAGAATAGGCACTAGAAGTGAGCCCTGTGGGACTCCTTTGTTGTTGTTGTTGTTGTTGTCTCGTGCTGCTTTGTTGCTATATGCAACCTGTGGCTACAAGAGTTGGAAGAGAATAGGGCTATGCCACACACAACTTGCAATGTTATCTTGAGGTTATCTTGAGATGATTCCGGGGCTTTAGTGTCCCCGCGGCCCGGAATCGACCAGGCCTCCACCCCCCAGGAAGCAGCCCGTGACAGCTGACTAACACCCAGGTACATATTTTACTGCTAGGTAACAGGGGCATAGGGTGAAAGAAACTCTGCCCATTGTTTCTCGCCGGCGCCCGGGATCGAACCCGGACCACAGGATCACAAGCCGACCGGCTCCCAAACATGTTACAAAATGTTTCAAAAGTGGTGGCGCCAGTTAAGACGAGACGAGGGAATGAGTGTTGTTGCTGTGTTTTGTCTGGAGAAAGTTGAGAGAATGACTTGAGGCAGTGTTCTTCTGGCGAGTGATCTGGCTTTCATTCCTCTCTTCCTCCTCCACCTTCTTAATCTTTCTTGTTTATTCTTCATGTTCTTGTTCTAATTAAGAATATTATTCTTGTGGACTGTTTTTGTGAGGCTGCAGAAGCTTACCCATACCCATACGAAGACCCCATACCCATCCCGTGGGCGGTGATAGACCCCATACCCATCCCATGGGCGGTGGTGGACCCCATACCCATCCCGTGGGCGGTGATAGACCCCATACCCATCCCGTGGGCGGTGATAGACCCCATACCCATCCCATGGGCGGTGGTGGACCCTATACCCATCCCGTGGGCGGTGGTGGACCCTATACCCATCCCGTGGGCGGTGGTGGACCCTATACCCATCCCGTGGGCGGTGGTGGACCCCATACCCATCCCATGGGCGGTGGTGGACCCCATACCCATCCCATGGGCGGTGGTGGACCCCATACCCATCC